CCATTTCCAATAATCTTTTACCAGTGACTAATGTACTGTATGCTAAAGGACTGATACCAAGGGCGACTCATATTGAAATGCATTCAAAAATGACTGGAAGGAATGAATTAGAAAGAGCTGGATTGCTACTCATTGCAGTTCAAGGACAACTGGAAGCATCTGCCAGTCCAAACCAATATTTGATCAATTTTTGCTATATATTATTAAGGCAAAAGTGTGACTCACTAACAGAAATTACAGTTCTTATTTTAGAGCAGTTTGGTAAGTGTGTGAATGTAATGAGGATTGATAAGTTTATGATATCCTCAATTCATTTTAGGTGAATCTATATCTGATGATCAGGAAGTGAAAGTCACAATCATTCTTTCACCTGATTATGTTCAAAAATATGCTGACATATTGAGACAAATGTATAATCAGCAACCCATCATAGCTGAAGACTGGCCACCAAGAGTTGGAAAAGACTTCTTTGGTAGATTGACAATGATAGAAGGCCAAAATATAATCAAACAAGCAGAGCTACAAGTACATTGGCACATGCTGAGAGGAGAAGTTGATAAAATTCCTTACCTCATTGGAAACAATGAAATAAAAATTGAAGATTTATTAAAAACTAAAGATCTTACTCTTCTCAAAAAAAATAAAGATGTGTACTCTTCTCAAAATATAGTAATTGATGGTCCTCCGGGGATAGGCAAAACAACACTCTGTCGTAAACTGTTAAACATGTGGTCAAATGGAGTGCTTGGCTGCCTATTTGACTTGGTACTTTTCTGTCCTTTGAGAAATAGCAAGGTAGCCCAAGCTAAAAAATTAGGGGAACTTTTTCAGTATGTTTATAAGTGTTCTACCATACCAAAAATAGTCAAATGGGTTTTGGATGAGGATGGAAAAGGGCTGCTAATAATTTTTGATGGGTGGGATGAGTTAAGTATGCAACATAGGAAATCTTCACTAGTTGCTGACATTATTTGTAAGAACCGGCTAGCAAAATGTTCAGTGATTGTTACTTCTCGTAGCTATGCCACTGCGTCACTTTTAAAAGCAATACCATATGTTAGTAAACATGTTCAGATCATTGGATTATCCACAAAAGAATTATCTACAGTAATAATAAAAACAATTCAAGAAGATTCAGACTTAGCAGAAAAACTTATCGATGAAAATAAATACTCATATGATTATTTCAAAACCACTCAAACTAATAAGGACTCACAACGAGCAGTAAAACTCATTAATGAACTCAAAGTACGAGGTGATGTGCAGTCTCTGTGCTACATTCCACTGGTTTGCTCTATGGTCATATTAGTTTATTGTAAGGAAGGAGGACAGCTACCAACAACACTCACTGAATTATACGAGAACTTTATCTTACAAACTATTCAACGACATATAAAACGGAAACATGAAAATGACCCAGAAACATTAGTCAGTCTTGAAACATTGCCATCACCATTAGCTAAAGCTTTAAAACAACTGAGCTATTTAGCTTACACCAATCTTGCTGATACAAAAATGACTTTTTCATTACATCCACTAAACCTATCTGTGGCTAAAGCAGCAAAGGAAAACTATCTTGCATTGCTCACAAAATTTGAAGAGTTTGGTGAGAAGAAGTATCAGTTTATTCATTTAAGTATTCAGGAATTCTTAGCTGCATGGTGGATATCTAAACATGACAAAACTGAGAAAATTTTCAATGATTATTTTCACAATGAACATTTTAAAATGTGTCTGAGGTTTGTAGCTGGTCTAACTCATCTTGAACACGAGAGCTATCGACAGTATTTTGAACAGAAGAAACAATTACAATGTGAGAATAGTCCACTTGGAGATTTTGAAACTAGTTGG